TTAAGATCATCATCCTAAGTGAAAAAGGCCAGACAGAAAAAGTTGAAAACCACATGATATCACTTATATGTGGGATATAAACATAAAAGCAACAAACAGGACAAGCAAACAGAAACTGACGGACATGGACAATAGACTAGTGGTTACCAGAGGGTGAGAAGGAGGGGAGGATAGAGGTAGATGGGGCAAAAGAGGTCAAATATGTGGTGACAGAAATCTAACTATGGGCGGTGAATGTAATATACATATGCCTTACTGTACTGTTAAACACTTGAAACTTACTAGATTTCATTAATCAATTTCACCAAAAAATAAATGTAAAAAAAAAGAACAGATTTATGAACAGATTTATAAACAGTACAACACACATTTTAATGTGTGTGCTTTGATACAGTTTGAAATGTGCTGAATAGTATGATGTATTATTATTGAGTTGTTATTCTTAGGAAGACAATCGAGGATTGGGGAAAGAGGGGATGGAATAGGATATAGTACATTTATTTTTAGATTTGGAACTAGTGAAGTAACTAAAAAGGGCATACTGAGGTAAGAGGCCTGGAAAGTCTGGTGGCAAGGCAGCATGAAGCGACTGAAACCTTGAGGTTAAGAGACAAGCACTTAACCTCAGGGTATGAAAGGGTCACAGAAAGGCAGAAAGAGGATAAAGGTCACATAGAACTCAATTAGCCAAGGGCCATTCCAGGAATCAGAGATGGTGCCATCTGTAGTCACCACTGCATGTCGCATTTCTGTCATGAGAAGGAGTTTGCAATAACATTCCACATTTTCAGAGTCTCTTGCGTGTTGACTCTCCATACATATTTGGCAAATAGCTGAATAACTAGAACTGTGATGTAGCTGGCAAGGGTGCAGGCTATGGACAGGTTGGGTCACAGTGGAAATGAGTAGCCCACAGTGGAAGCCACCCTGAAAGTTTGACCTCATCAGTACAGGCCTCTCATCCAAAGAATAATCCAGCCCTATTCTGTTCATAATGCCAGTGGCACCTGTTTTAAGTTGGCCCCTAAGGGCTCCTGAGAAAAGTGGTTTCTGATCAGACTGGCTTCTCCCACAGGTGGTTTGACAACTGAGTTTCACTGTCCAGCCACAAGTATAAATAGAGGCACTGCAGGAAGGAAAATACGTTTATCCAAAAAACAGCACAATTCTGCAGTTGGATTGAAGCTTGCTATAAAGCAAATCCAACAAAAGTATAAGAGTGTGCCTGTCCCTCTGCTTCACAATCACTTAGAATGGTTATAAATATTCCAGTAATTCCATTGAAAAATACCTCCTATTTCTAAATTAATCATTCTCTGTTCACTCCTGAGTATTATGAATAGCACTTCAAGTATTTAAAAAGAATAACTGTGTTTCTTTGGATTCTCATCTCTACTCCTTTGATTTAGTTTTCTATAAGGCTACAGCTATTACTCTTGGTTTAGTCTTGTTGGCAGAAACGCTTTA